GAGTTATCCCAGGTACAAAAAGCTGGTGCAACATTCAAAATCAATTAATGCAATCCATGATATCAACAGGTTAAAGAAGAAAAGTCACACAATCATACAGATACAAATAAAGTACTTGACAAAATGCAACATACATTCATGATAAAAACTCTTAGCAACCCAGGAAAAGAGTGAAACTTTCTCAATTGGATAAGGAGAATCTGCAAAAACAAAACCAACTTACAATTAACACATGTTTAATGGAGAGAAACTCCAAAGCTTTCCCACTAAGATCAGAAATATGTCAAAGATGTTCTCCCTCACTATTCTTTTCAGTATTATACTGGAACTACTAGCTAGTACAATAAGACAAGACAAGAAAGAAAAGAAAAGAGAGCAAAGAGAAAAGAAAAAAGAAAGAAGAGAAAAAAGAAAAGAAAAGTTACAGATTGGGGAGAAAGAAATTAAAGCAACTTTGTTCACAGATGACAAGATAATCTATGTAGAGAACTCAAAAGAATAAAAAAAAAATCCTGAAACAAGTAAGGTTCCAAATAAGGTTAATACATAAAAGTCAAATACTTTCCTGTTTACCAGCAATGAACAAGTAGAATTTGAAATTAAAAACACATTACAATTTACAATAGCATCCCCCAAGATGAAACAGGCATAAATCTAATAAAATATCAAGATCTAGATGAGGAAAACTAAAACATTCTAATAAACAAAATCAAAGAACAAAATAAATGTACATATAATGCATATCTATGGATAGGAAGCCTCAACGTTGTTAAGATGTGAGTTCTTCCCAATGTGATCTATAGATTCAATGCAATCTTAACCAAAATCCCAGCAAGTTATTTTGTGGGTATCAACAAACTAATTCGAGAATAACCAGAGACATGGAAATATAGAACAAACAGACAGTAACCAGAGGAGAGAAGGAAGGGAGATAACGGAGCAAAGGGGAAGGGTCGTCAAGGAACATGTATAAAGGACCCATGGGCAAAGACAATGAGGGAGGACTGAATGTGGGAGGTGAGGGTGGGAAGGCCAGGGGAGAATAATCAGGGGAAAATTGAGACAACTGTAATTGAACAATTCAAAATAAATAAATAATAAAATGCAATAAATAAATAAAGTTTATACAGAAAGGCAAAGACCCAGAAAATAGCTAATGCAATAATGAAAAGAACAAAGTCAAAATACTGACCCTGCCTGACTACAAGACCTCCTATATAGCCATGATGTTCAAGACAGTGAGTATTGGGAAAACTAATAAAAAAAATAAATAACAATGGAACAGATTAGAGAGGCCAGAAATAAACTCATATAAATATCAATGGATCTTTGACAAAGAAGCAAAGACAATATAATGAAGGAAAAAAGACAGTATTTTCAACAATGGTATTGGAACAACTAGATATCTACATGCCAAAAACTGAATCTAGAAAGAGACATTTCATCTTTCAGAAAAGTAGCTCAACAAAGATTACCCATCTAAATTTAAAATGAAAAAACAGTAAAACTCCAGAGGGTAACACAGAAGAAAATCTAGAAGACCTCGGGTATGCTGATGATGTTTTAGATATAACACCAAAGGCAAGGTCCATAATAAATAAATGATAAGCTGAATTTATTAAAATTAAAAACTGCTTCTCTGCAAAGGAAAATGTCAAGAGAATGAGATGATAATCCACAAAGTAGAAAAATATTTGCAAAATACGTATCTGACAAAGGAATGATATCTAAAGTATACAAAGAACTCTTAAAACTTAATAAGAAAATGGGGGGGATAATGGAGAAAAAGGGGAAGAAGCAAGTCAAGGAACATGAATAGAGGACTCATAGGTATGGACAATGGTGGAGGAATTGACTGTGGGAGTTGGCGGGATGGGACAGGGGAGAGCGATGGGGACAAAGGCAGGACAACTGTAACTGAATGACAGTAAAAAAAAGAAACAATTGGGTTAAATAAAAAACGAAAAATGAAGAGACATATCACCAAAGATTTACAAATGGCAACAAACATATGAAAAAACGTTCATCATATGTCATTAGAGGATTTCAAATAAAAACAATGAGATACCACAACACACCTATTAGAATGGCCAAAAACCAGAACTACAGCAACACCAAAGGTGGGTGAGGATGTGTAGGAACAGGAACTGTCATTAATTACCAGTGGGAATCCAAAATGGCACAGCCACTTTGGAAGGTAATTTGGCAATATCTTACAGAACTAAACATACTCTTACCATATGATCCAGCAACTGTGCTCCTTGCTATTCACCCAAAGGGGCTAAAAATTTATGTCCACACAAAAATCTATACATGGATATATTTAACAGCTTTATTTGTAATTGCCTAAACATGGAAGCCACCAAGATGTCTTTCAGTAGGTCAATAGATAAGCTCTGGTACATACAAGCAATGTAATATTATTCAGTGCTAAAAAAATACCTATAAAGACATAGAGGAAACTTAAATGCATACTACTAAGTGAAAGAAGCCAATCTGAAAAGGCCATTATCCTGTATGATTCCAACAATATGACATTTCGTAAAAGGTAAAACTATGGAAACAGTAAAAAGATCAGTGGTTGTCAGTCGTTGATAGAGATGTGGGGAAAGTGAGGAATGAATAGGTGGAATTCAGGGCATTTTTAAGCCAGTGAAAAGATTTTGTATGATACTACAACGGTGAATACATGTCATTATACATTTGTCAAAATCCATAGAATGTTCAGCACAAAGAGTGAACCCTAATGTAAACTATGGACTTTGGAGGATAAGTGTCAATGTTGGTTCATAGACTGTAACAAATCTACTACTATGATGAGGAATATTGGTAGTGGAGGGATGGGAAGCACATGGAAACTGTATACTTTGTTTAATTTTGCTGTAAACCTAAAACTGCTGTAAAAATAAAGATGATTTTTTAAAAAATAATTCTGATAAAAAGGTAGATCTAGGGACATCTAGTCTAAAATGCAGAACATGCAAGAAAATAGTAGTTTTGCAAATAATACAAAATCCTATGTATGAGTTATATAAAGACCATATAGATAATATGCTATTCATTTTGAAAATACAATTATAATGAATGTTCCAGTATAAGGAAAAGCTTTCTAGCCCCAGCAGAAGACTCGCTCATTTCGAGTAATAGTTAATACAACAAATACAGGACGTGGACATAACTTTGAATTTTGCCATAGTCCACCTGGGTCTATATTTATATACCATTTACTGACTCTAAAGATTTCAGTAAAGAAAGGGTTGCATCAAGCATAATAGTGTGCCAATTTCTGCAGGGCAGGAAGAATTGAGACACAAAAATTAGTAGTAATTATTTCCAATTGGAAGAAGAAATTTTGGGGTGAAGAAAACCTCTTGCTAGGATTAAATAAATGATTTGCCTCTAAGTTATTCACCTTTTGTAAAATATCTAAATAGCAGCTAATTATTTCTAGTTATAACTAGTTTATATCTAGTTAACTAGTTATAAACACAGTGAAAAGCTAAATGTGTACTAGAATTCACGCTGAAAGCTAAGACATAAGGATTAGACTGTCTACTTTGGAGATAGGGAAGAGTGAATATAAAGTGAGTGAAGAGTGTTAGGGCGAAGACTGAACTCCTAATAGTCTGTTCATGCCCTTCCACTTTGGCTACTTCAGAGAAAATGAAGGTCTTCAGGCATAAGGTTCTCAGTAATCAGGCTGAATTACATCAAATTCTACATGCAAAAATCATCAGTCTTCCAATGAGGAAATGGCCTGTTGCTGCAGACCGGATGACAACTAACCTGCCTCTAGGGTCTCTGGACAAGCCCGAATGCTCAAGGACCCAGACATAAATAACCCGGCATATACGGCAGTGACAAAGACACAGTTCCGTAACTTACTGAGAGAGTAGGTCCTCTGCTAGTGTGAAATGGCTATAGCATAATTTTTTAAGTAAATGACTATTACTTTACAAGTTATTAATGTTTTAAAAGGCTAAATATTTCAAATATTATTTTGCTTACATGCAAAGCATAAAATTTTATTTGTGACAATAGAGTGAATTCAACCTTTAGTGCTGAAAGAGACATTGCATTTTCAACACAAGGAATAAAATCACATTTATGATAATAAACATCTCTTTCCCTGGTCTCAGAGTAAGCCAGAGTAGTGTGTTAGTCATTTTTTTCCTACTCTTTTCTAAACTACATATTTGATTTAAAATCTTAAGTTAGGTGGCTGGGTTAAAATTTAAACTTTTTCTCAAATAAAATGTTTTCACATATAACTTTTAAAGTATATATATTAAACTTTTCCAAAGGAGAAAAAATATTACTGTGATAAAATAAAAAGGCTGGGCCTTGTAAAACAGAAAATTAAATATGGTTATTGAGCAGAAACATTTAAAATCATATTTAAGTTTATTGAAAAATCAACATTTTCATATAATAATCAATTTTTTAGTTAAAAATTTTATACCTACTGTAATCCTTATGATGAATTCATTTAAAACACTACCCATAGACCATATTTATGATTCCAAAAAACTTCGTTTTAAAATGACCTGAAATATTATCATATTTTTTACCTAATTAAAAAGAAAATTGAAGATGATCCTTTATCTCTGCCTTGAATTTATTTGAAATAAAACATTTTGAAAAATACTTTGTCCTGAAATAATACAGCATATCCAATGAAAGTTTTACCCCATGGCTTCTGATTTTGAAATATATTCTTTGAAAAACACAAAAGGAGCTATATAGATAATCTAAGAGCAAAGAAGATGACAGACATGTTAATTAAAACCCCTGCATTTAAATAGAGTGTATGTGCAGTCATTAAAAAATAGTTTAAGAACGTAAAATATATACTATTAATCCACACAAAAATAATTTTTCTGTGGACAAAGATATAAAGAAAGATTTTTAAATGCACATACATACTTCAGAAAGCACTCATCTGAGTAAATCCTTATTCTGGGAGGGCAAGGGTGGGCAAAAAGTTAAAAATCATATACCCTGTTTTGATAGGTAGCACATTTCCAGTCTTTGCTCAGAAGAACACCCATAAAGATGAAATGCTTCTTGTAGCGCACTTTTATACCACTTCTTTTTATTTTTACATTCTCCTGGCTGAAGAAACACAGAAAAAAAGATTCATTGTAAATATATAATTTTGTTTTAATATCCACTTGATTTAGTTGTTGAGCTGGAACTTAATCTCATTTAAGCATTGTACAATGTATTACTTAGACTTTTATATCCAATTATCATATTACTATTTTAGAACACAGCAAAGTTGTAGAGATTCTGCATGTTAATAGCCAAAAGGGTCCGATTCTTGATTCACAAAGATATTTTACTATGATTCACAAAACACTTAGAAAGTTATAAAAATTAAAACTACCAATGTAACGAAGTAGTCAATATTAATACATTTCATTAGAATAATGTTGATTCCCTTTTAAGTAACATAGCAATGATACTGAAGTGGTACAAATTGTAAAGCCAAGTTTCTTTTTGTAAGAAAATTAATTCAATTCACATCTAGTTTTGGTGTTATGGCACAGAGTCAACATATACAAGTTCCTTAAACTTTCTGTACCTAAATTTCTTCATCTGGAAAATGTGGACAGCTGTACATACATCAAAGGTCTTATGAGTATTAAATGAAATAATAGATTACAGTTTGCTGGAGTAGGAAGCATTCAGTAAACGTTATTCTACTTGAATGTAGCACTTCTCTCTAAATGTTTATTCAGTTTTTAAAAAAATGTATTTCAAAAAGAAAAAGAATAAAAAATCTCTAGGTTAAAATTGACCATAAAAGTTACCTGGGCTCTTCTCAAATTTCAAGTTATTCTTAGAGTCCCTAAATTAATATTAACCACCTTCCTGGAGTTCCCAAATTAATAATAACTATCTGGTTCTCATTACACTTAATATATTCATTTAATTATTTACTATATTCTGATTTTTCTTATAGTTGATTTGCATTCACAGCCGTCTCCACCCATACAATGAAAAATACTTGAAGACAAAGGCAATAAATAATATTTTATTTTTGTACTCTCCACAGTACCCAATTGCCTAATTGTCTGCATATTATATAAGCAGAAATTGGTTGTTAAACTGCATGTGGTTCTGGGCATTGATGTATTTGGTATAAAAGCAGCAAAGCAATTTAACCAAACAATTGGAATCAAACAAAAATCTACCTTTGTATACAGAGTCTTTACATTTCATTCATTGTTATTTAATATGAAAAAAGATGAAAAGTAGAAATATACAGTTCAATAAACATTTGAAAACTTACACTAAATTAAGGATATCTTAGCTAGTATTTGCAGTTTTAAGACATTTCTGCAACTCAAATGCTATAATAATGCTAAGAAAGAAATTATAAATAGTAAAAAAAATCACCAAAAAGCTGATATAGTACCAAACAATTGAAATTAGGAAAATTTCTCAGGAAAAATCAATGCATATATAGCTAAAGAAAACTGATGAGTTTGGGTAACCCGTGTCTGTCTTTAAGAATTTACCAGTAAGTATATGCCACCTAGTGGTAATACAATCAAACATCTTATAAGAAACAAAGTTAAGGCTCCTACGAATTTTGAACTCCAGAATTAGCCTCAGCTCTGCACTGCAATTTTTCTGAGTTCAGTTTTTAACTGAAGAAGTAACAGGTGAATATTTTAAAAGTATAGAAGGCACCCATTATTTCCAGTTTCTCTTGGTCTTCAAGCGATACCGTATGTCTCTATAAGGATTTACATCATCTATATATCTATTTTTAAAGAATGCTGTATTTATGTATGTTGAGTTTTTCTGATTTGTCTTGCAGATGGCTTTATATAATAACATATTCTAGACACTCAGAACCTATAGCTGAAGAAAACAAAGCTTACACTCTAGCCGATGAAACAGACACGCTACAATAAGCGTAATGAATTAAGTCTACAGTTTGTTGTAAGAGGTATTAAGTACTATATAATAAAGAAAATATAAGGCAATAAAGTGGTCAGAGTAAATCTCATTGAAAAGGTGATATGTGAGCAAAGACCTGAATGAGATCACGGAGTTAGTCATGTGGATAGTCAAGGAGAGAGTATTCCAGGGAAAGAAAAATGCTCTACATAGGAGAAAACATGTGCATTCAAGAAGTACCAAAGAAGTTAAAGTGGCTGAAGTGGAATGAGGAAGAGGGAGAGTAACAGGGAGTGTCAGAAAAATAACAGGCCAGATGTTAGAAGTCCTTTCAGGCCACTGCAGGGACTCTGGCTTTTACTCTGAACGAAATGGGAGTCCTTGCAGAGTTCTGAGTAGAACACCATTTGATTTGATTATTAATATTTTCAAACAAATATTCCAGTTGCTTTCATGGGATTAGTCTATAGAGAGGCAAGTATAGATGTAGGACAGTTGGCTATTGCAATAATCCAGGCAAAAAAATGATGGTGGTATAGACCAGGGTAGTAGCATCCACTGTCGTAAAAAATGGTAGGATTCTACAATAGGTATCATTTGAAGGAAAACAAAAACAATTTCCTGACCAATTGAAAAGTGGTTTTGAGAGAAAGAGAAGATGATTCTAAAGTTTTTGGAATGATCAAGTAGTAGGATGGAATTTGCTACCTGCTGAGATGGGGAAGTTGTCAAGGAAGTGAGATTTGAGAGAAAGACAAAGAATTCAGGTATGTTGAGCCTGAGATGTCTATTATGATATCCAAGTGGAGATACTAGGTAGCAATTTGGAAAGGGAATTCAGGAGAGAAAACTAAACTTCACATAAAACTTAGGGATTGTCAACACATATTGTATAAAGCCAAAATGTTGGATGAGATAGTCTAGGGAATGAGAAAATAGATCAATGTAAATCCACATATGTAGTATGTATGTACCACATATTTATTCAACAAATGCCCTAGTGATGGACATTTCTGCATCTTTCTGCTTAGGTTGCAGGGGATAGGAAGCAGTCTTAGGTGGGACCCTTCTAAAATGACCCCTGACTCTTTCCCGTTGCCTGAATCGCTGCTCCCGGAAACTGTGGTACTGCTGGCCATTCCCAGGGCCTCTCGCTCTCACTGGTGCCAGATCTGATAACTAGCAACTCTCACTCTGCAGATTTCTTGGGAAAGTTGGACAACAGTAGGCTATGTTGTTCAAGGTCCAGAGGACACACATCAAGCTCTCAAAAAACTACTACTCAAGAAAGTGACCTCCTTTCTTCTCCTAAGATATGGGGAAGGAGAAAGTGTAAGGAAAATGCCACAGTACACCATCATTTTCTCCAAAGACATATGTTCAACCTTAAACCTTTTATATCTTTCTTTAAGTCAGGCCAACCCAGTTTGGGCACTTCCTTTGTAAGTCTTGCATACATAATTTTATAGCTCAGTTTGCAATGTGAAAATAATTATTTTGTAATTTTAGCTTTTGTAGTTTTAAATACCTATGCCTTTCACTAAAATCTGAATATATCTAATAATTTTAGAACTTTCAAATTATCTTATCTCCCACTTCGAAACAAAACACAGAAATGTTTTTAAGTACACTTGTTTAAGAAGGAAACTTTCAAGGTAACTCTTTACCAAACTTTCAAGGAGCTAAAAGCTTATAAAGTTAAGAATTTAGATTAATGACTTCAGGTGAGACTACAGAAAGAGCTGGGCACCTTCAAATTCCAGTATATTCTATGATCCCAAGAGAGAATATCAAGTCCTTCATTATTTTTATATTACTTTGGCCACCCTGAGTTTTCTCAATCAGTTTCAGTAACTTTGAGGTGAAGGGAAAAATAAGTAATCATATGGAAAGAGAAGGAAGACATACAGTCTAAAAATTTGTGTGAATTTATGACAATAAATAATTCTTGACAGATGTATTCTTGATAGATGAATAAGCATGCAAATATTTGGAGTAAACATGAGGTTTCTGACTAAACAAATGGTTAGATAGGGAAAGATAGTACCCTATGCCTGAGAAAATTCCTGGCTGTGTCCAAAATTGAAAAGTTTGTAAATTACTTTCCTGTGTGATCTTGTTTCAATCAAGTGCTCTTGGCTGACATTTTACATTTCCCAGGGTTTGAGGAAGAAGTTGAAACACACTTCTCAGTAACTTTCGACTCACTGCATAAGGTGTGTTATTACCATACATTAACATGGAGTAGCAAATTCAAGGAAAAGAATACATATACTTTTGTCCACCCAGTGGACAATGTGAGGTCAGTGGAAAGAAATCCACAATCTGGCAGAAATTCATGGCTTCTGTTGCTTTGTATTTTTAAATTGCTCTGTATGTGGGTTAATCAAGATATTTAATATAATAGCCTGAACTTGTAGCAGGATAAATTTTACTCCTCAAATCTGAATATGTAAACAATGCTACAATATCTTATTTTTGTTCAGTTGAATGAGAAAGCCTTAATCCAACAAGGTTAGTTAAGCTTGAGGCCACCTCTTACTTTCTCTAGGTTCACATAAATTGGAAAAAAAAATATGGTGAATGAAGAGTGGTCATCAAGGAACATGTATAAAGGATCCATGGACAAAGCCAAAGGCGGGTAGGATTGAGGGTAGGAGGTGGGGGTGGGTGGGGCGGGGTAGAGTGGTGGCAGGAAAATGGAGACAACTGTACTTGAACAACAATAAAAATTAAAAAAGTGAGGACCTATAACACATATAATATAAAATAGTTACATGAATAACATCTCTGTTCAAGTCCCTTGAAGTCAGTCTAACAGCCCCTTTGCAGCACATGGACAAAAGAATCCTTTCAGAGGCTGAGGACCTTGACGGCATGGGTTCAGTCTCTGCAAGTGCACTGCACGGCTATCCTCCTCTGAGGTCTTGCCACTACCCAGGGCACTGACAGCCCTTTATCCTCTTCCAAGGGTGACAGAGTCTCTTTTCTGCCTTGCTGCTCCTGCTTGACCCTTTCTGAAGCAAATTCCCAGCCCACCCTGCCCTTCCTCAAGGAGGAGCTCTGGTCAAGAAGGCAGAGAAGCTCTGCTTTTGACCCCACAGCAGATAACTCCCCTGAGGCTTGCAAACACCAGGGGCCTGACCACTCTTTGGAATAAGTGAGAAGGAAAAATACAGTAGAAACCAGTTCTTATTATT